GGGGGGGTGATAACGGAAGCCGGGGTGGCCGTATTGACCAAAAATTGTAAAATTCGATAAGCCCCCGCCGAAGTTTGGGAAAGGAGGTGAACCACCACCCCCAACATGTGATCCAGCTCCTCCCGGGGGAGGGGGGCGAAGTGTTGGTGGAGCTGGTTGAGGAGGGGGGGTTTGAGGGAATCCACCAATTCGGGGGTGACGGTGGCCAAGAGGGGGGGGGACATGAGGGCCAGCTGGAGGAGGAAAGGGACCGTGGCTTTTTGCTGCTGCTCCCTTCCCCCCCCCGCCCCCAAACTTTGATGAAACATCCTCAAAAGCTCTTGCTTGATGCTCCCGGAGTGACGAGAAGCCAAATGGCCTAAAATCCCCACCACCGAGGCGATTTTGGGGGGCCGTTTTTCCGGTTGAGGGGGGAGAGAGGCGACGAAAAGAGGGTCCCCCGTCGTGGTGGAAGACCCCCCCGTCCCTCCACCGACCCCCCCGTGGGCGCAGAAGTCCTTGAGGCCGCAGGAGAGGACGCGGTTGATGATGGTGGAGGGGAAGGAGGAGCCGATGTGAGCCACCACCCAGTCGAAATGGGGGGAGTGTTGGAGGGAGGTGTCCAGGAGGGCGTCCACGCAGGCGTCGGGCCCCCCCCCGATCATGGCGGACAGACACTGGGTATAAATCTCCATCAGGCTGCGGGTGGCTTCGCACGACATCCAGAGCTGCAGCAGCTCGTTCAGACTCGACGCTTGGGGCACCCCGTGACGCCCCGAATATTTGCTGCTCAACTGCCCCATCAGCTCGATGGACCAGGCCGAGACCAGCGGGGCCCAAGATTTGGGGTTGGCCCTCACGAATTCCCCCAAAACCTTTTGTACTTCTTGCACCACTTCTTCCAAACCTGACCCCCCACCCCCACCACCACCACCCCCGGGTGGAAGGGTGGTCCCTCCGCTGCTTGGGCGGTTGAAATGAGGGGATCCCCCCCCCAAATTTTCCCTCTGGAGGAGGTGGGAGCAGACCTGCTCGTCGAAGAGGAGGCGGAGGTGCTCCAGGGCGGCGTGTCGGGCCGGGGGGAGGCAGCGGAGGAGGAGGAGGGCGCAACGAGCGTGGTCCTTCAGCGACAGCTTCGTCCCCTGCACAGGGTCCACCCCGCTCAGGAAAGCCTTCACCTCCTGGGCCAGCTCCTGGGCGCTGGGGGGAGGGGGGAA